ACCGGAGATTGTGTTTTGTGCAATATCCAACACAATGAGGGAAGACATTTCACATATTTGTGGTGAGATTTTACCACTAAAATGATTGGACCTTAATTGGAGAGCCAATACACCTTGAGATATCCAATCTGGTATGTTCCCTGATAAGTGGTTATTGCGAACGTTAAAGACCAACAGAGAGTGACAATTATGCAATGACAGAGGAATCTGACCATGTAGTTTATTCTCATGCAAATGGAGTGAGGTGAGATTAGATAAGAAGCCCAGTGAAGGAGGTATCTTTCCTGATAGATTATTGCTTCCCAAGTGAACAGCAACCAAAGATTTCCAATTCTTCCAACAATTCGTAAGCCCTCCAGATATATTATTCAATGATATGTCCAAATACAACAAATTGTTTTTCCCATTCGACACATTATGACCACATAAGAGGGGAGACAATTCTCCTGATAATGAATTATTTGATAATGAGACAAAAACCACATTTGGTGATAATTGAGGCAAGCAACCTTTCAAACCATTTGATGATATGACAATGAATGTAGAGTTCAACAACACATTTGACATGTCACCGTCTATCAAATTGCCTTATAAATCGAGTTCAATCACTGATGATAACAAATTCCAAAATTTGTCTGGAGCCTCAAATGATGAATACCATATAGTTAATATTTCAAGTGATCGATGTGTATAGAACCACGCAGGAAGGTTGGGATTTGAAAACCCAAGTACTAATTCATCAAGTTGAAAAGGTGGAATCCAATCCGAGTCAAAATCAAAGGTTAACCCGACATATGAGTATATGCCCAGTTCCTTTAACTTTGACAATTTGGCAAAATTTCTTTCAGTCACAACTCCTGTCAATGGATTTGAGCCAACAACCAAGGTAATCAAGGTTGATAGATTTCCCAAATTTGTGGGAATAGATCCTGAAAATTTGTTTACTCCAAGAATAAGAGTTTCTAAATGTTTGAAATGACCTAACCAATCTGGAATGGGTCCATCAAAGTTATTGTCTTCCATGTTCAGGAATTCTAGTTCTCGAAGATTTAACAAGTCCTTAGGTAGATGTCCTATTAGAGAACTTGAGCTAAGGTCTAAAAAATAAATAAAAAAACTAAGATTGAATAACCACTTAGGCAACTCTGAGTTAAATTCATTTGCAGAAAGACTAAGAAATTCGAGTTTAGTAAAATTAGCATACTGGAGAGACAAGCTCAAGTCTTTAAGTTGACAAGCACGCATACTGAGGAATGAAAGTGATGGAAGCATAGTCACTAATTGAAGCCAATTAGTTTCCATGCTAAGATCATTATCACGGAGGTTAAGATATTCCAGTGAGGAAATGTAGGGAAGCCATTGAAGGCTATTGATAACAAGATTCCAGTTAAGTGATAAATCAAGATGACGAAGGGTTGAAGAGTTGACACACAAACGAGGAGAAGTAGGTATAGATAGATTATGACAATTATGGTTATGCCGATAATCAAAGTGTAATGCTAAGAAGTCATTGTTTCTCAAATTCAAGTATTCTAAAAATTCCAACTCCACTAACAACAAGGAGAGACGAATGGAACCTGTAAGGCAATGTGATTTATCTTCTTCGTCCCTGTAAATTGGAAGAGTTGTAGAACATAGGAGAGAGATTCCAATGACTCTATTAGTGATGTTGCTACATATGACTCCTTTCCAATGACAACAATCTAGTTGAGTTGTCCATGAGGAAAGGACACCTGAGGGGTCTGTAACTCCTTGCTTGAAGTTTAAGAGACCATGCATGTCCTGTTGGTTGCAATGAATATTGAAGCTGCAAAAGGCAGTGTTGAAGATGATTCCGCATAGCAACCATACAGATATGATTGCATTTTGAGAGGGAGATGTATTCATGATTGGAAGAGAAATGAAGGGCTGATGGCATCTAATGGAGAGAAACTCTATTTATAATAATTGGGGCGGTTTACCCAGTAATTATCAGATTAAGAGTTATTATATATCTTTCATAATTTTAATAAGATGTCTTAAAAATAAAAGCATAATGAAAATATTCATTTTTAAAATAAATAATAATTATTTTTAATCCGAAATAATTATACTTTCAGAGGGTAAGATTATTATTATAAAAGATGCTTTTTTGTTTTAAATCTTTAATGTAATGCCATATTTACAACTTTAATATTAAACTGAAATAATTTGTTACGATTTAGTTATTTGCATTTAACGATGTTGGAGTTTGCCATCTGATAATATAATGAAATATTGTGTTATACAAGAAAATATAGAATTTTGTGTTAAAGATCGTGACTAGAGAAACCGATCGTGACATTGCTTGACCAAATGTGAGCCCTATCCTACGGCATCCATTTTGGAAACACATATTCAAATCAAAGATTAATTATGCATCGATCGTGTTCACTCCTTACTTAAAATATTACTAAATATTTTAATATTTAATAGTTTCATTTAGGTATATATATTTTTAAACAAAATATTTAATTTATAGAAACACGTGCAACGGTTTGAAATGAAACAGAAATTTTTTATGTTCTTATTAAGAGATAAGATTTAAACTTTTTATATTTTTTTTTTTGTTTTCGTGGTTAAAAAACATTATAAGTTGTAATTTTTGTAATTTCCTTATTTTGACTAATAACACCTACACAGAGGGTTAATAAATAATTTTTAAAATTAAAAAGATAAGGAATTAAAAATGAAGTAACCAAAATAAAGTAACTTAAAATATATTTAACTATAAATATAATTTTATGTAACTTAAGTTTTAGTAATTGAATATTTTAATATATAATTTATATTGTGGTGAAAATTTGTAAAAATTAATTCTAATATATAAGTCATATTTCAAACTTATAATAAATAAATTTTATTGTTATAAAAACTTATTTAAAATTTTTATAATGACAAATGATTTAAGAACTTATTAAGCTCCTAAATACACATAAAATATCTCAAAACACAAAAAAGAAAATTAAATAATACTCTTAATCTTATTATGAGAACACTACTGCAGAATTGACCTTTAACGTCACCTAATAGACCTCGGTCCACCAAAACCCCAACGTAAATAATTGACCGGTGACATAAATGTAAATAATTGATTATGGAGACGTCCGTTCTGGAGGGGGATGGACGTCTACAATATTATAGACGTCCNGAGATGAAGAAAAATGGAGGAGAGAAAGCAATACTTTCAATACTGGTTTTGTAGGTTTAATTGATATAAAAAATAGCAATTTTTATATCGATTTTGAAATTGATATAAAAACCTTTTTTAAATAATACATTTTTTTTCATTAGTAAAAAAATATACAAATTTTTTAAATTAAAAGACATTGAATTTCAAATGAAAAACTAATATTTACTGTGTAACAACAAATTATAATAACAAACTATAAGGTGGTTGTTTCTGGTATAAGGTTGAGTAAATTCATTGAACACACCTTCACACTTATACTCCTTAGTCGTATGGGTAACTATGTTCGTCCTTGGTCTAAGTTTTCCTTTGTCAATGCTCCAAACCGATCGGGTACCTGTTGTTGGAAAAATCTCACGATACATACACTAAAATATTTTCTTGAAATTGAGTCTTATTATTCATTATAATTGAAGGGTTTTAAATAGCCATAACACTTAGAATATTACGAGGAATAAAAATAAAATATATCAACTATCTTAAAAATAAAATTTGCTTAATCTATCATAAAATAATATTGTACCTAGATAAACCAAAAATCATAACTACTTATCCCTATTTTATCTCTATCAAATCAAACTAAATATTACTATACCCAGAAACTAATAAAATAATATTTAAACAAAATTATTAATAAAACCCTAAAATTTAAGTTTATCCCAACACCTGTCTCAAGGGTACTTGCCTAAAGTACTCTGATGCTTAAGTCAGTAATTAATTCGGACGAGTTCAGAGCAAAATCTTAAATTCACCATGAATGCAATCTCCTACCTCTTATCTTTGACCTCCATTCTTAGTTTTTGAGATAGACCTAGATCAGTGAAACCTAATCATGGTCCAATCTCGACCCATTTTACTTTGTTTAACTCATATTTTTGTGAGTAAAAATATTTCGCACAGGAAGGTTCCGTCCTATGTTCTACCACCTTAGTTTCAATGGTTTTTCATTATATTTTATAAATTATAATATATTGAAGCATTTACTTTATTTTGTTTAATTCATACTTTTGTGAGTAAAAATACCCTACACAGGAAGGTCCAGTCCTACATTCAACCTTATCAGGTTCCAATGACTTTTCATTAGAATTTATAAATTATAATATATTGAAGTGTTTACTTCATTTTGTTTAACTCATATTTTTGTAAGTAAAAATATCTTTCACAAGAAGGTTCAGTCCCTTCCCGCTCGGTCAGTTGGACCACCTACATTCAACCTTGCCAGGTTTCAATGGCTTGACTCTCGTGCAAGCATTAACTGGGCACCTCTATCCTCGTTCAGTGTATCCCGAGCGGTGCCTATTTATATTATCATAATCAATGTCCTTATATATTTTGCAGGTCACAAGATAGTAAGCACATACAACTCATCCGTGACATATCCTAATACGAATTCCTCATTTTTGGCCTCCAAAAGTTCAACCGAGGACCAAAGACCGAATGGACTCGCCTGCTCGGCCATCTGGCTTGATAACCTAAATTAATTTAATATTAATTTGATTGGCTACATTTTTCTTATCCTTCGAATTCGAATTGTTATTTTCTCTTTAGTGCAAGTGACAGGACCCTGCACACAAACCGCTCGACGAAGCTCCTCAGTGATTCTATAAAATGAATCCATCTCGATCACAAACAGACGAAAAACTCCTCGATGATTCTATAAAATGAATCTATCTCGACCATCGTTTTGCTCAGCCTCCAACCCTACCCAATCGGACAGTCTTCGTCCTATCTTGTCTAAATTTGAGGCTTCAAGCTATCATAACCAACTGCCCCTCTTTAATGGTGCGATCGTCCGGTCATACAATATAATTACACTAAATATACCTATTAAAAAAATAAATGATCCCTATATTAAAAACATATTATCATTAACAAAATTTTTAAAGCCAAAACCTATTCAAGAAACGGAAAAGTAAAGTACAAACTAAAGTTACACTAAACAAAATATCCATAAAATAAATAATACTGATAAAACCTAATAATTCAAATAATAAAAATATATTATCATTTATGAAATTTGCATAAGAATATAGTAATGCTAGTCTGAAAATTTCAACAAAACGAGAGAAGAGCACCAACGAAGAAGAGAAGAGAAAGAAAACCACAGGAAACCTTATACAAACCACAGCCTATATTAATATATGATACGCTTTTATTTTAATCGTTATATATTTTTGAAATTATTTTAAAAATTGTCACCATATCAACATAAGCTACATTCTTTTAATAATTATAGTTTCTCTAGATGGTAAAATTGTATATTTACATTAGTGATATTTTATGTTGTATTCATGATTATCGGCACGGTGAAAGCAATAATATTTCTAAAAAGGCTTTAGACGTCTGTTATTTTAACCTTTTGACGTCCGACATGCATCCGACGTCTTTGTGGGTGACGTTAACCAGACGTCTGTTGTGTCGGAACGGACGTCTATATGGCTGAACGGGTTATTTAGGGTTACGGGGTTTGGACGTCTGTTTGTGCACTGCCAGACGTCTAAGGGTCACTCAATGAAAATTATAATAACACGTCAAAAACATGAATACACAAAACCCTATCAAAAAATTATTAACGAAGAAACTAACTTGAAGATCATATTCGAAATGAAAATGGAGGGAAATGGAGGAGTGCACGACCTAAAACGTAGGACCCCTCCAGAATGGACGTTCAAAAGGCTGAAGCAATCAACTCTTCAACTCCCCCCGTCAGCCTTTTGAACGTCCGTTCTGGAGGGGCCGGACATATACAATATTATAGACGTTGGCCCCTCCAGAACGGACGTTCAAGAGGCTGACAAGGTAGTTGAACCCGTCAGCCTTTTGAACGTCCGTTCTGGAGGGGGCCGTACGTATATAATATTATAGACGTTCGGCCCCCTCCAAAACGAACGTTCAAAAGGCTGAAGCAATCAACTCTACAACTCCCCCCGTCAGTCTCTTAAACGTCCGTTCTGAAGGGGGCCAGACGTCTACAAGCTGAAGCAATCAACTCTTCAACTCCCCCCGTCAGTCTCTTGAATGTCCGTTCTAGTGGGGGCCGGACGTCTACAATATTATAGACGTCCAGCCCCCTCCAGAACGGACGTTCAAGAGACTAACGGGGGAGTTGAAGAGTTGATTGCTTTAGCCTTTTGAACGTCCGTTCTGGATGGGGCTGGACGTCTATAATATTGTAGACGTCCGGCCCCCTCCAGAATGGACGTTCAAAAGGCTGAAGCAATCAACTCTTCAACTCCCCCGTCAGCCTATTGAACGTCCGTTAGAGGGGGCTGGACATCTACAATATTATAGACGTCCGACCCCCTCCAAAACGCACGTTCAATAGGTTGACGGGGGAGCTGAAGAGTTGATTGCTTCAGCCTTTTGAACGTCCGTTCTGGAGGGGGCCGGACATCTACAATATTATAGACGTCCAGCCCCATCCAGAACGGACGTTCAAAAGGCTAAAGCAATCAACTCTTCAACTCCCCCGTTAGTCTCTTGAACGTCCGTTCTGGAGGGGGCTGGACGTCTATAATATTGTAGACGTCCGGCCCCCACTAGAACGGACATTCAAGAGACTGACGGGGGGAGTTGAAGAGTTGATTGCTTCAGCTTGTAGACGTCTGGCCCCCTTCAGAACGGACGTTTAAGAGACTGACGGGGGGAGTTGTAGAGTTGATTGCTTCAGCCTTTTGAA